AACAACAACAACATGCCACTAGGACTGTATGTATGTAAGTTTTATATATATGTGTGTGTTTTTACATTCTGCCTTATTTCAGCACTCTTATCTTCAAGTTCCACCCATATTAGACCAGGTATCAGGACATCCTGCTGGCTGAGTAGTTTTAAATGATTTATTTTTTTGTGCATGTACTGTCAAATCAGATCTGACTGGACAGGAGGAGATTATCCCTCCTTCTCCAGCAGAGCGTCTGGTGGATTCAAACCACGCGCCTCTGGGATTGCAGTGCAGCTTCCTGCCTCTAGGCCACCAGAGCTCCCTGGCTGAGTAGTTTTTCATGTGTGTACCACACTTTGTTTACCCATTCATCTGTAGGTAGGCATCTTTCCACCTTTTGGCTATTGTGAGTAGTGCTACAATGAACATTTGGTATTGTTATGTGGTGTCAAGTTGCTTGCAACTCATAGTGACCCTATGTACAACAGCCCTGAAACCTGCTCTAGCCTGTGCCAACCTTGGTATACAACCTCTATTTGAGTCACTACTTGGTCTTTTGGACTTGTAAGTGGAATTGCTGTATCATAGTTATATTTTCAAGATAGGATGTATTTGTAATTTATTGAGTCCCTGGTTGGTGCAAATGGTTAGCATGCTTTGCTGCTAATCAAATGTTGAAGGTTAGAGTCCACCCAAAGGTACCTTGGAAGAAAGAATCTACCAGCCAGTGAAATCCTATGGAGCAGAGTTCTATACTGACACACGTAGGGTTGCCATGAATTGGAATCTACTCCACTGCTACTGGTTAGGGCAGCTAGAGTCTTTAGGTAAGTATAAAGACTCAGCTTTGAGTTCTGAGTTCACAGATTTCACATGATAAAGGCTTAGTTCTAAGTTACATGTAACAAAGCTATCAGCCTGGTGTGCCCCACAAAACATCAAGTTTGGTATTGTTGTAATGTGCCATTGAGTTGACTGTGACAGTAGCCCTATCCTATACCATCCTCATCATCTATGATATATTCAAACCTACTGTTCTAGCCCCTATGTCAATCCATTTTGTTGAGGGTCATCTTCTCTTTCAATGACCCTCCATGTTTCCAAGTATGATGTCCTCCAAGGACTGGCCCCTTTTAACACCATACCTAAAGTATATGAGGCAAAGCTTTACCATCTTTGCTTCTTTTTATTTTAACTGAGATTTTAATGAAGTTCATAAAGAACTTGGATTTCCATTAATTCATTGTTGCACATTTTCCTCCCTGCTCCCTTCCCCACCCCTCTCGGCCCCCGTTGGCTTTTTCCTTTTGGGGAAAAAAGTTCTTTCAGTGTTATACATTCATTCCCCTCCAGACCACTTTACTATGCCATTTATTCTTCTGGACTCTTGTCATGCCAATAAGACCTAATTATATATTCCTTTTATACAGTTCACTCCCTCATCTGTTTCAATGCCGTGTACATTACTTATCCCCCTTTTTTTAGTTTTCCCCCAACCCCCATGTCAGTCCTGTTTTTTAACAGTGGCATTATGCAGTATTTGTCTTTTTTGTGACTAAGATATTTCACTTATCATGTCCTCCATGGTCACCCATTTTGTTTATTTCATGAGTTCTTTTTCAGTGCTGCATAATATTCCATTGTGCAAATATACCGGAGCTTCTCTATCCATTCATTTGTTGATGGGCACTTGGGTTATTTCCAGCTCTTTGCTATTGTGAACAAAGCAGCAATAAACATGGGTGTGCATATATCTGCTTGGGTGGCAGTTCTGGTTTCTTTAGGGTATATTCCCAGTAGTGGGATTGCTGGGTCAAATGGTATTTCTATTTCAAACTTTTTGAGAAAGTGCCAAACTACCTTCCAGAGTGGTTGCACCACTTTACACTCCCAAGAAAAATAACTAAGGGTTCCAGTTTCTCCACAATCTCGTCAGCATTTGTTGTTTGCTATTCTGTTAAAGTTTTGCTATTCTTACTGGGATAAGATGATAGCTCATAGTTGTTTTGATTTGCATCTCTCTTAGAGCTAGACATTTTTAACATTTCTTCATGTGTTTGTTTGCCATCTTAAGTCTTCTTTGATGAAGTCCATTTTTACTTCTAAGAAGCACCCTTTGCCCACTTTCTTCAAGACATATTTGTTTGTTCTTTTGTCAGTCTGCAGGATACTCAGTAGTCTTCTCCAACACCACTAAAAGGCATCGAGTCTTTTGTCATTCTTAGTCACTGTCCACCTTTCAGATGCCTAACAGTTTATTAATGAGCTCAGAGTCCAGTCATGTTAGTTAAAAATTTTAGTTAAGAATCATATAACGAAAGCAATGCTGACTCTGTATTCATCAGCAAAGCAGCTAGAACAGCACTGAAGTGGCAGTGGAGCTGGACTACACAGCTGTATGCCAAGGGAGTCTGGATGCAGACAAGCTGGTGGCAGTGCTGCCCAGCCAGTGACCTGGGCCAGATCCACACTCCACTATTATATCTTAGGGACCCAGAGACCCTATCTCCTTATTCACGTTCTTGATGGTGGTGTTCTTTTAAATTGCTTATTTACATCCACTACCTATTTTTCTTGATTCAAGAGTTTCTTGAATATTCTAAATATAATTTTAGACCTTTCAATTGTCTTCTACCATCCTAGTAAACTCTTAATTTTATCCTTCGTTAAACATAGCCCGTAATTTTGAATGATCACTTCATCAAACAAACCTGACTGTCACCTTTAGGAACCACCAGATGCAGTGGGCTGAGTTAATCAAGAGAATGAAATTACAGTGGTGGACCAGGCCATCTGCCAGGGTTTGCATCTTAGGGTCTCAACTCTTGGGAAATGGATAGTAGGCTCTGCAACTAACTGCTTTCCCCGCATTGGACCTGTGTGCACTGTATCTTAACTAGTGCTTGGCTGTCACCCAATAAACTTTAGGTGTTACTGTGGAGAGAAAAAAAAGGAAGAAAACTACATAGCACTGTGAATATGTAAAGTTTTAATTAAACAACTATTAATGATAATGAAGGATTAGCTAGTAAGAAGTAGAGCTCTCTAAAGAACACTGAATTAGTAAATTTATTATTATTATTATTTTTGTGTGAGTGTACCGTCAAATCAGATCTGACTGGTACAGGAGGAGATTGTCTCTCCTTCCCCGGAAGAGCATCTGGTGGATTTGAACCGTGCGCCTCTGGGATTGTAGTTGCAGCTCCTTGCCACTAGGCCACCAGAGCTCCCCTGAATTAGTAAATTTAAGGAGCAGCTACTCCTTCTGAGTCTGAGTGTCCACGGAAGAGCCACCAGAGTCAAGATGAAGCTCTTACTAAAGAAGGGTTGACTGTGGCTCACTGGACTGCTAAGCCATCAGCACAGTCTCATGATGGAACTCACTGAAGCTCCAGCCTCTAAGTGCCTGGAAAGGCCATTCAAGTGGAGGAGTTTCACCAGAGTTCCTCTCCTACAAACCAACTGAGGGAGGTTACCAGGTAAGCCTCTGACTGCTGGCTGCCAAAAAGTGCCAAAGCTGATTGACAGAAGAAGCCATGTGTGCTGCAGTAGGCAGGCACCAGAGAACCTGCACATGCGTAGAAGCCTGCCACGGTAGTGAGTAAAACTACTGCCTGGGTTACTCTTTTGCTTCCCATTATATCATAATGCTACAGTTTAAAACTGGTTTCTGTAGTGAAGTAAATTTTGGGGCTGAAGTGATATTATTAAAATAATATCCTTTTGAAAAATATTTATTAAGTATAAATAAATGTCCTATACATTAAATATCAAGAAATAGTCATTAATGATTACAAGTCAGGCTGTAATACTGAAGGAACCACAGAATCAAATATATCCACTCATGAAACAATAGTAAGAATTCCATTCCAACATTTGACACAGTAACAACTTGTTCACAAGACACAACAAAGCCTATCAAAATTTGAACCAATCTACACTGCTACAATAGAAAATGGTTTTGAATCATAATATGAACAGTCCCAATAATCTCATTTTATCAATACATCAGGTCATTTTGAGGTTGTGGAGTTCTATTTTTATAAAATTCCAAGATTCCCACTTCCTTAATTTCATTTCAAATTATTCATGACTGAAACCAAGTCTGGCATAGCCACTGTGTTGTTTTTTTTAAAGTTAGTCTTTCAAAAGAGGAAAAGAGTCAAAATTTAGTACAAAGAAAGCACCCTCCCCAGCAGTGACTTTTTTAACGGAAAAAAAAAAAGCAAAAAAGCAATGTACTTTACTTTCCTTCAAAGAAAGGAAACCTGTCCTGTTACGGTCAGTTTGGAAAGATATTTCCCAGTTCCCAGGATACATGTTTATTTTACATGCTGCATATGAATGATGAACGTCTAGGAAGCAGGGATTTGTGGCAATCCAAATTCATCCACCAACACTCCATCCTGTGAAAGACACGAAATGTTTAATGCCATTATTTTTTAAATACTGTAAGACGATTAGAAATACTTAGGAGTAAAAGCTAATTTCCAAGTGTTTCATAATTTAAAACAAAAATTTCACTCATATAAAACTTTTAGGAAGGTAAAGGGGGAAGTGAAAGACAAAACTGGAAGGGATTGAAAGAGTGATCCTTGGTAGAGTGAAGCAGGAGATCAAGAAATGTAAGCATAAACCTGGAGAGTGCAGCCATTTCTGGAGAATAGTCTTGCAAAAGGGAAAGGAAGCAGAGGGAACTGAGGAGAAATGGCTGAGGAGTTAGTCCTGGGATTTCAAATCTGCATCTTCACTCTAATCCCTAAACTGAATCAATGCTTTTCATAACCTCTCAAATCTTTGAAGGAGCAGTCTGATGACAGATACTTATCATCCTTTACAAAATCCTGGACAGTGATAGTACTATTTATTAATAAAATGTGTCTCAACAGTACATTTATCTCAAGAATTATATGCCCTTCTAAAGGTAGAAATAAGATAGACATTTCATAAACTTGTTACTGCGATTTGAAAAAAAACAGACCTGATAGCACTGATAAAAGCTTCCAAGTATGCTGCTAAAAATCAACATGTGCACTTGGAATTTAAAATGGGCAGAGAGAATGGGATTAGGGGTAGCAGACAAAGGTAAGATTATCTCAGGCTTAAGGGAGAAGGAAGGTATAGTAGGTGAACAATATGTATAAAAATGAGCTATAAGAGACCGAGAAGTAATCTACTGACATCTTATGCCACCTCATTTTTTTTAGTCAAATTATCTGTACTTAAGTATTACCTATGACAATCTTATTAAATGCTTTTTAAAAAAAAATTAATTTTAATGAAAGTTTACAGAGATTTGGTTTCCACTCATTCCTTGTTTGTTACACTTTTCTCCCTGCCCAACCCCCCCTCCCAATTCACTCTTCTCTTTGAAAAGTAAAATTCTTTCCTTGTTATACTATCTCTCACCCCAAGTCCACTCTTCATTCTGGACTCCTATCATGACAATAATACCTAATCATATACCCCTTTTAAACAGTTCTCTCCCTCATCTGTTTCAATGCCGTACATTATCCCCTCTTTCTCAGTCTTCCCTCAACCCCGGTGTCAGTCCCATTTTACAACAGTGCACCTATGCAGTATTTGGCCTTTTGTGACTGAGATAGTTTACTCAGCATAATGTCCTCCAAGATCACCCATTTTGTGTATTTCATGAGTTCCTTGTTTTTCTTTTTTTATTATTATTAAATTTTATTAGTTTTAATGAACATTTACAGAGATTTTGGGTTTTCATTCATTCATTGTTGCACTGTTGAGTTCCTTGTTTTTCAATGCAGCAGAGTATTCTATTGTGTGAATATACCAGAGCTTCTCTATCCATTTGTTTGTTGATGGGCACTTGGGTTGTTTCCAACTCTTTGCTATTGTGAACAAAGCCACAATAAACATGGGTGTGCATCTATCTGCTTGGGTGGTGGTTATGGTTTCTTTAGGGTAAATTCCCAGTATGGAACTGCTGGGTCAAATGGTATTCTATTTCAAACTTTTTGAGAAAGCTCCATACTGCCTTCCATAGTGCACCATTTTACACTCACCAACAGTGAGTAAGGGTTCCAGTTTCTCTGCAACCTTGCCAGCATTTGTTGTCTGCTGTTCTGTTAAATTTTTCTATTCTTACTGGGGTGAGATATCTCATAGTTGTTTTGGCCACCTCATTTTTATAAGTGGGAAAAATCTGACAAGGTTAGAGACAAAACATGAATTCCTAAATTGCTCAAAGTCACATGATGAATAAAGTCACATGATGACTGGCTCCCATTCAAGGATTATTTGGACTACATTGTACACACTCATTGTGCATGCTGGAGATAAGATAAACACTAGGTCCAAAAAATGACCAGTTAGCAATTAAAAATTAAAAAGATACATTTACACTAGGAACTAAGATGTAGTAAACAGGATCTCACCAACAACAATAAAATAATGACAACAATGTAGATCTGGACAGGGCTTAAAGCAAAACTTTCATATATAAGATCTAATTGGAGCTATACAAAAATGATGTGAAATAATGATAGCCATTCTAGATTTTACAGGAAATTTAAAAGCTTAGTGAATTGCCTGATGCCTCAGAGCTGGCAGGGCTGAAGCTTACACCCAGTTGTCCTGATTTCATTACCTTGATGAATGAGAATCTTTCTACAAACAAGAAAGCATGTAAATGATACCCAGAGTATATTATCACTCTTAAGAGTGATTTTGTGAAGAATAAAAAAAAAAGTGATTTTGTATATTTTACAAATTATCAGTGTACAAATAAAATCCTTAGATGATTGCCAGGGAGGAGAAGGGATAGAGGGCAATAAAAATTAGTAAACAAATAAGAGACACATATTATCATGGATGAAGAGGAAGATAATACACAACAAAGAAATGATCAGCACAGTATCACTAAAGAAAGGGGAGACACAGAAAGGTGTAGAAGGATTAACATAAATCAGAACTATAGGAGGAGTGGGAAAAGTGTGATTTCATTGTGGGCATAGAAATTTATGTAATGGAATAAAACGTGTTATGAATGAAACATTAATTTGCTTTATACCTTTCACTCAAACTATGATAAAAGAGAAAAAATCTTGGCCCTTAGTGATGCTATTTACACAACCTATTCATAATCCAGTACAAGAAAAAATGGGCTTCCAAAAGGCTCCCCAAAATAATGACTGAGATTGTCTTTCATAGTTCAAACTCAAAATTAACTTTTAGGATCCCAGACTGATGGTCAGACATAAAATCCTGAGCATTTGGCAAAGAAAATACACACAGAACATGCTTTCACCTTATTCTTTGTGTCAGTTGGTACGCCTTCAGGAATGGCAGGGGCAGAAGCGGCTTCATCCAAATATGAGCTGTCTTCATCAGCCAGCAGCTCATCACCCAGTGCATCCAATTCTGAGATTGAAATAGTTAACACTTCAGAACAGATGTTAGTGTATAAAAGAAACATTTTACTTAAAAATACAAAAACAGATTTAAGAAAACTGGCAGATAATATGGAGAAAGTTAAACAGATTAGCTGTAGTAAAATGAAAATTTAAATGCAAAAAAGAAATGAATAACTTCTATTTTTAAAATAAAAGATAACCATTATATGAAAATTTCAAAGAAACTAGTATGATGACATCTATGAAAAAGAAAAAAGACAAAGAACAAAAAGAAGACAAAGATCAAAAGAAAACAAAACCATCAACTCCATAGATTAATAAAGTCCTGGTCTTCAAGAGAAGCAGCTAGAGTTATTAGTTGGCCAATTCAAACTAAAAAAAATTCTGACCCTAACAAATACAAGAAATTCTTTCTTACTTCTTGATCGACTGGAAAGAAAGAAATAAAAGGAGGAAAGAGATTAGTGTACACTGAGCATTCACCACAATTACATAAAACCAAGCTTGAAAAATAAATCTATGGTTAAGTGAGCTGGAAGGACCAGAAGGACTGGCACTGCTGGTAGAGACTCATCAGGAAAGACAAAGAAAGGAAAATAAAAAAGATAAAGGGGAAGAAGATTCCTGGCAGAAACAGAACATGGAGAGAGAGTAGTAACATGACAGAAAATCCAATGTTACTCATGCTAGAAACTGATAGCCATTCTGACCCCAATCTCCTTCTTACCCCACAGCCAATCAATCATTAACTCATCCAACCTATCAAACTGTTCTTGAATCTGCCTATGTTTTTGTTTCTGCTACTATAACCCTTGTCTCAGCCATAATTTCTGAGACCACTTAATCGCTTCCGTTTTTCATCCTAATTCCTGCTAATGCTTCAGGTCTCAAGCTAAAGTATCTCTCTCTCCAGAAAATGTCCCATGCTAAAAGTATTTTCTCAAGAAAATACCTCAAGCCTTCCCCTCCCAGCAACTAGTTTAAATTCCCTTGCTTTATGCTCCCATGGAACCTCAACTTGTCCTTCCTACTACTTTCTGCTCTTGTATCACTCCTGCTCAAGGAAAAATTTCACAAATGCAGGGGTCATGTTTGTTTATTTCAATCCTGAATTCTCCAACACCAGTGTCTGGCATAGAGTAGATGGTGACTAAGTATTTGTTAACTACTGTTACTTGATCTGTCTCTGTTTGAGGGAGAGGACTCCAGGTAGAAAAATCGAGAAAATCAAAAGGACCCAGCAGAGAAAGGCAGTGCTGAGACACTAAACACTTGAGATCTCTGCCTAGACCATACTTCAGTTTGTCTATCCTAGAGATGCTGGCAGAGAATGCACACCAGATGTGGCTGCCTTGCCTCACAATCTCTTTGCCCCAAGACTATTGTGCAAACTAAGGCTCAGGGAACACTGATAGATACTTTCTCTAGGAGTTGGGAGAAGAGCCCAGGTGGTCTCAATTTTCAGAAACTAAGTAAGGAACCTATTTCTCTTCCTGTTACTTACCCGCTTCTAGGTCATCTTCATCTAATTCTGGAGTGCCATAACTACGACTCAGCGCCTCTTGGATTTCATTTGCATCTTCCATCATGTCCTCTAGCTGGTCTTGTATATCCTATAGAAATATATGGAGCAGCGTTTTCATTGATTTCTTACCATTTACCCTCTACCTTCTCCTCAGACTCTTAGGAATGTGCACTTTCTTTTTTTATTTTATTTTTTTATTATTTTGTTTGTGTGTATGTGTACCATCAAATTGGATCTGACTGGTACAGGAGGAGATGGCCCCTCCTTCTCCGGCAGAGCATCTGGTGGATTCGAACTGCGTATCTCTGTAATTGCAGTGCAGCTTCTTGCCACTAGGCCACCAGAGCTCCCCTAAAAATGTGCACTTCCTTAAAAGATAAATGAGGTATATAACTGGGATCATGAACAGTCATACCTTAAAAGTTTACCTTAAAAAAAGTTTACCTTAATGATTTATTGTAATGATAAACATGAAACAGTACTACATATATTTGTTATTATTACTACTTTTATTGTGTCAAGAATAAGCAGAGTAACAATATGCTTTTCATATAGTAAAATCCCACATAAAGCGGAAAGCACTCATGTTTATAATGCTCAGTGCCCAAATCAATATTTTCCTCTTTCAGAATTTCCAGCATAAAACATTTGTAAGATTATTCCTGGCCCCCAAGTCAGGTATGTTTTCCAATATTAAAGGGAACAGTGGAGAAAGTAAAACATTTTCCTTAAAAGAAAGGGGGGGAAAAGCTCTGCATTTTTAAGTGCCAATCTATGTTACATGTATGCATAAAATTTTGCTATCCAGAAAAGTACTGACTGAAATAAGAGAGTGACATAGCATGGAGTAAATTAATGATGTCTAGCTAATACTATATGAAGATAGAGCTCTTAAAATCATCCATGAATAGGAACAGACTCTTAACCAGAATTGATGGGGGGGTGGGGATAATATATACAACAAACTAGTTGGTTAAATACTGAATAAACACACAAAGGCAATGGAAACAAATATAAGAACCAAATGAAAAACAGCATGGATGTGTATAAATTGAAAACAGACACACGTGCACACACAAAAGGAAAATTAAAAAATGATAGCAATGAAAGTGGTTTATAAGTATAGTAGGAAAAGAAATCTAACATAAGAAATTAAAAATATAAAGCCTAACTAACTAAAAGTAACGCAGGACAGTCACATACACCAAGAGTCGGAAAGGGACCCTCCACCTGTCATGCTGGCAAAATAGTAAAGGACAGAAAAGGACAATTAGGCAGGGACATGCAGACAGGAGAAAGACGGAGAGACATTAAAAACAAATGTCCAGTAAGACCAGAGTTTTTGCTCTGTTCATTTTCAAAAGGCCTAAAAAACTGAAGCCAAAGTATACGACATTTGCTTCAGTCATGACTGAGTTGTGGCCAGTGTGTTCTGGGGGACTCCCCAAGTTTCCCTAAGAACCCTCTGGTGGCCAGCCTCGTGCTCATACACATATGCCACAATGAATACAAAAGTGTTGGTTGGAAGAGACGGAACAAGAACTGATGTCCATGCAAGGGGGTCACTGTAGACCTGTTTCATGCCTGTCACACAGCCCATCGGGCTCACTTCTACATGGTAAACTTTTTCTCTCTCACTATCATCTTTCTTTTAATCTGTGCATACCGACATAAGATCTTAGGCTCATTCTGGATATTGTAAAATTATGAAGGAATTTAATGAATTGAAACGAATATAATATGGGCAACAGTGCAATGCCATTTGAAGTCACTAACTTTTTTTTAATATAAGAGGTATCTGGTATGAGATCAAAGGGTCGTACAATTTGGTGGGTGGAGGAGGTGGGGAAGACAAAAAAAGAGGTATCTGGTATCACATTTACTGAACAAAAAGTCTGATACTGTTTCATACAACTCTTCTAAAACATACTTTCTTTAACTGTGCTTCATTTAGAAATGTTCATTGTTAGAGAGGGTTGATACACGAGTGAGTTATGTGTATTGTAGAAAGGGCAGCATTATTTTTCATTTAAAAATATCTCTCCAGGGAGAAAAGTGCAACAATGAATGAGTGGAAATCCCAAATCTCTGTAAATGTTCATTAAAATTAATAAAATAAAAAAATATCTCCCATTGATGATTCAAATTATTAACTATTCAGCTACTAGACTGAAAGGTTGACTGGTGAACTCACTGAAAGATACATGAAGTCAAGCCTGGCAGTCTGTTAGAGATAGTGCTGTTCTCCACACAGGAGGTTAGCATGGCTCACAATCAGCTTGAAGGCAAACAACAATAATAGCACCACCACAATTTTTACTTGTAAATGTCAGGAAAAATGTGTATGGCTCACTAATATCTCAGAGCTCTCATGGCCTATTGGTAAGAAGCAGCACTGCAATCCCAAAGGCGTGTGGTTCGAATCCACCACTGAATCCTTGTTACTCTTGGGGAGAAAGATGAGCAATCTCCTCTTGTGCAATTTACTGCTTCTGAAAACCTGCTGGTGGGTTTGTTCCAACTCAATGGCAAACAACAATTAAAATATAAAGAACATTGTTGTTGCTGTTGAGTAGAGGTCGACTCATAGCAACTCTACGAACAAAAGATCTAATGCCTTTCCATAGCTATCGTTGTTTCTCCAAGTTCATAGTTTCCAGAGGCATGCGGTTTAGGAAGTGGATGCCACTCTTGCTTCCAAACCTGTTTTACAACTAGGAGCTCCACCAAACACTATCTTGAATGGGAAACCATTATGGTATTTGATACCCAATGACACAAGGTTCAGCATCACAGCAAACCCAGGTTACTTCATACAGCACATTGACAAAGTGATGTGTAAAGTGGAAGAATAGTCCTCCAAATATAACAGCACTAGTCTCATTTACAAGTGGTTAAGTGCTGTTGAGTCCAATACAACTCAAGAGTAAGTTTTGTATAACAAAGAAAGACTTTTACTTTTCAAAGAGAAGAATGAATTGGGGGGGAGGGGTGGGCAGGGAGAGAAGCACAACAATGAATGAATGGAAATCCAAAGTCTCTGTAAACTTTCATTATAATTAATAAAAAAAAGAGTAAGCTATGCACAAAAGATCTGAACTCTGTTCTATAATTAACATCATTTTTGTATATTTATAAGAGAGTCTGTAGAGTTTCCAGAGGCATCTAGTTTAGGAGGTGGATATCACTCCTGCTTCCCAACATGAATCAATCTGGAAGCTCGTCCAAACATTGTACATAATGGGTAACCATTATAGTATTTGACACGACTATGGAACAGTGTTCAGCATCACAACAACTTCAAGTTGTTGAGTCCAGCACATAGACAAATGATTGCTGTGTCTTTTAAAGAATACTCATTCTAAAATGAACAAATTTGGCCCAAGGGCCTGGGCCTGGGGGCCCTATAGGATTTTAAAGCCACACCCTCCACCTTCAAGGGCCACAAGTTTTGAAGGGGGAAAAAGAACAGTAACACACAATAAGCAGGACCCTAGAAACTTCCCTTATTTGACTGCCATCAAGACGAGACCACCATCCAGATGCTAGCTAGCCAGCCAACTCCTAGAGTGAAGGAAGACTCCAAGGCCCCAGGCCCCAGGCCCCAGGCCAGCCCACAGAGCCACTGCCTCATTATCGATTTAAAAGCCACATCCTCAAGCAGGCCTCCACCCTTATTCTAAGGCTCAAGTGCCACCCACTTTTGAGAGGGGAAAAGAATAGTAAGCAGAAAAAGAAATTTTATTCCATTATATTTTTATCATGCGCAGGAGAGATGGACTGATACAGTGACTGGGGCAGTAGGGGTAGGTGTGTCAGAGTCAGTGAAACCGGCTCAGGACAGGGCAGGCTTCAAAGCTGTTGTACACAGTGTCGCTATGAGTTGCAGGTGACTCGATGGCAAATAACAACAATAACAACAACACTGTACAAATTAGACAAGAATACGGGAGCTCTGGTGGCGTGGTGGCAAGAAGCTGCACTACAATCCCAGAGGAGCACTGTTCAAATCCACCAGATGCTCTGCCCAGAAAGGAGGGACAATCTCCTCCTGTACCAGTCAGATCCGATTTGACGGTACACACACACACACACACACACACACACACACACAAAATAATAATGAAAAAAATTTTTTAAAAATATCATTAAAAAACAACAACAACAAAAAAAACCCAAATTAGACAAGAATACATAGACAGTGTTCAGTGAATCTCCTGGAAAATCAATAAACTTAACTCTATGTAAGCAGAGACTGGTGGAGGATTAAGAAAATGGCCAAAGACTATCTAAAGGGAGGTATTAAAAAAACACAAAAGATGAAATGGCAAATGCTTCTCTCCTTTTAAAGATTAGCACCGCCAGAGACATCTCTGCAGATGCTGAAAAATATGCAGTTCACAGTAGGTGCTCACCAACGAGCAAACACTGCTACAATCAAGCAGGACTAATTTAACACCTTGACTAGTCTGTGCAACAATGAGCTCAAACATAACAACTGTGATGATGGTACGGAAAATCAGACAGTTTCATTCTATCACACATAGAGTTACTATATGTGCCAGAACCTATTCAAAGGCACCTAACATCAACAGCCTCTTGTTTATCTACCAACACACAAAGTATTTTCAATGCACAGCTGCAGAGTTTGTAAAAACCATATGTTGTTGTTGTTATGTGCCATTGAGTCGCCTGTGACTCATAGCGACCCTATGTACAATAGCCTTAAACCCTGCTCTATCCCTTGCCAAACTTATTGTCTCTGACATGCCTATCCCCATTACCCCAGTGACTAAATCAATCCATCTCATTGAGGGTCTTCCTTTCCTGTGCTGTCCCTCCACCCTCCCGAGCATGACATCCCTCTCCAAGGACTGATCCTACCCTTCAATATGACCAAAGTATGTCAGTCAGATGGAGCTTCAGAATCCTTGCCTCCAAGGAGCAGCCTGGCTTCACCCTCTCCAGGACAAAATTGTTTGTTCTCCTAGCAGTCTATGGTATATTCAATACTCTTCTCCAGAACCATAGCACAAAGGCATCAACTCTCCTTATATCATCCCTGGTCACTGATGCATAAGCAAGTAATTGCAAAGACCATGGCCTGGATCAGGCACACTTTGGTCTCCAGACTGACATCATTGCTTTTCAGTACTTTGGAGAGCTCTCTGACAGCAGTCTTTACCAATGCAATTTTTTTTAAAATTTCTTGGCTGCTGGTACCAAGAGTGTTGACTATAGAGCCAAGCAAATGGAAGCTGTCAACAATCTCAATCTCTTTACCATCCATCATGATGCTGCCAATCGGCCCAGTGGTGAGAATCTTTGTTTTCTTGATGTTAAGCTTCATTCCAGATTGAAGGTTGCAGTCCTTGACCTTCTGCAGCAAGCACCTGAAGCTCTCCTTAGTTTTAGCAAGCAGGGTTGTATCATCTGCATAACTAGATTGTTGATAAGTCTACCTCCAATCTTGATGCCACACTTCTCCTCAAAGAGCCCAGCCTCCTGGATAATCTGTTCCGCATACAGATTTAAAGGATACAGAGATAGGACACATCCTTGATACATACGCTTCCCAATTTTGAACGATTCAGTGTTTCCTTGGTCTTTTCTGACAACTGCCTCTTGGTCCAAGTATATGTTTCGCCTAAGTACAATCAAGTGTTCTGGGATTCCCATTCCTCTCAGAGTCAGCCACAGTTTGTTATCCACAGTCAAATGCCTTTGCGTAGTCAATGTTTATGTGAAAACACAATACTTTCTGAGTCAGTCTAGGTGGTGGGATACAACAGCGAATAACAGTGATTCCCTGCTCACACAGACAGGCATTCTAGGTAAGGTGGCAGAGATGTAGAGCGCTATGATACATGCAGAAAGGAAGTTTCTTGCTGCTGGCTAGGCATCACTAACTCTCTCTGCTAGGACTGACATTCTGGTGTTCGTGAGACAGAACTGAGAACAGCCAACTTTCAGTGTTTACCTCCTTGACCAAAATCTGATCTCAAAAAGAAAAATGCTAATATTAAAGACCTAATGACATTGGACAGA